AAAACTGATTTGTTACATGAGTCAGATTTTTTATTTTATATATGTAATTACACTTCCTGTGACATATTGTTTGACTGTTATATAAATTTGTTATAACGAAATTTTTTATTTAATAAAAAAAAATAGGGATAAGATTTTGTTCGGTATAACAAAAATCCGTTATAACAAGGTTTGACTGTATAATGATTGTCATTCTAGAAAAGAATCAAAACAGAAAATTATTAGCTAAATTTTATGCATATATAAATTAATGTTGAAAGTTTTAAATAATAAATCTAATATTCAAGTGATCTTTCATAGATAAAAAAGGATAAAATAAGTTACCAATGCATCCTATAAGTATTTACCTACTTTTTATTATAATAATAATTTAAAAAAAATTTATTGGTTCTGGAGTTATTAGCTTTTAAAAATCATTTGATTTTTATATGTTATATATAGTTCTTTATGAATAATAAATCTGATGTTGATTGCAGGTGTCAGATTTAGTAAAATTTCCTATCACAAACATGTGGTTATATGCTTTCACACACCTCATAAGTGTGGAATTTTTTTCCACGGGTGAGACCCCCCACATGCTGGAAGGCTTTTATAAAGGTTGGCAAAAATTCACCCATTATCTTCCCCTCAGACCAGGCTTGGCCGTTACCATATAGCAACAATTGCTGATGAGAGTCAACACTCATGTGATGTTTGCTTTGTATTATCACCCACTAGAGTAAAGTTCGCATCCACAACTTGTTCAGAATTCTGCAACTTGGGTTGCTGTTTTGCTGGGATGGCACACCTAGAGCTGACTTTCTAAACTCTTGGCTATTTTTCTAAACTATTTTGAAACTGATTTTAATATTGTCTAAGCCAAGTTCAAAGAGTTTTGGAAATTTTACAAACTAATGTTTGAGTTTCAAAGAGCAATTCTAGGCACACACACAAACAAAAGTTTTGACCTAGGGCCAAAATTATAAATTTGGTTAATGTCAAAAAACATATAATTAGGAAAATAATTAATTAATAAAATATAATAAACACCATTTTATGACTTTCCTCTTAATGCCAAAACATGGAAGAAATCCAGCAGGTTCTTTGAAAAAGAAACAATGTAATTTCCGAGTCTCCAACCTCACTCTGAATTGCAAATTCCTCCCTGAGCTTGAAACAAGTCGCAGATTCTCATTGCTATGATGAATCTAGAAGTTATGCACACCTAATACTACAACTCTTCTCCAGGTTGCATAGCCAGCCATCTTTACCCCAGATGTGGAATCATTGCAGTCAACTTTTTGGCCAACATATCAGCAGCCTTCTCTGGTCAGGGGAAGATTAGGTAGGATTCACAAAGCATCTTTGAGAATGATGTGGTCTTGATAAACTCCAGGGCATAGCAACCCCCCTGAAAATTCTGCTGCATCATTGTATCATTGGGCATTGCAAGTCAGATTAGCCTTGTGTAGACGAGGAACATGTGAGAATGACTGTAAGTGACAAGGTAGCATGTGTGCCTTGACGTCTGTAAGATTTTCTAATAATCAAACATGACATTGAATTGTTTCATATCGTCTAGGAATAGTTTTCCATCCATCTTATCTTCAACAGTCATGTTGTCTTGACATCTTGCAATTATTTAATATTAATATTAATTAATGATTACACAAAAAGCGAAAACCAAAAAACCGATACCAATCATTTATTTAATATTATAATAAATATCCAAGACATAAGTTCTGCTCTACATTTTGATTTTGCAACACATTTATATAAAATAAAAGATATTTATAAAAGGATAAAAAAAATCAATACAGAGATAAAAATTAATATATCTCTTGCTATTAATAACATGTTGTGTCTTCTTTGGAACAAGCCATACCAAACAACAACATTCACGTTTGTCATGTAAAAAATAAATTGTTTTTCCAAAAAAAAATTTTCAATCACGTCAACAAAAAAAACAATAGGGCTTCCTTGTATAACCATATATACCTCTGTTACACCATTAAAATTTCTTTGATTTCCTTATTTCTAACTTCTAACCAATAATAGGGGGATCTGGATCGGGTTGGTGTAACTGAGGTAGGTGTGTGTTTGTGTATTATAATAGTAATCAATTTTTTTCAGAAAGAAAATATCCTATTTTATAACAAAATGTACAACAAGAGAAACAAACCAAGGAGAAGCAATTTCTAGGTAAGTGTTTATAAAAAGAATGATAGTGGTTATCGCCCACTTGTTATTCTAGTTTAAAAAATTCACATAATTTCAATTTCACATACAACATATGCATGGACTTTGCATTAGAGGAGGAATAGATCAATATGCAAGAGAAGTCATAAGAAGATATGGCAAGGATCATAATGTGTTGGAAGATTTGGTCAATGAAGTCATGGAAAAAGAAAAGGAAACGGTCGATTTAGTTAAAGTTGTGTTGGAAAATTTATCATTGGTTCTTAACAAATATCTTGAAGAGGAAAGAGAATACAACAATACAGAACTGTCTAATACTTCTAATTATACATGTGGTCAAAATTATTAAATTGCGTCAGACGCAATTAAAAATCTAGAAAATTGAACATTGCATCACCAATCATAAATTTGACACGTTGATGCAAGACGCAATTCGTGACGCAAGATGCAATTCGCGATGCAAAACAAAATTTGTCATGCAAGTCACAATCCATTATCTTATGTAAAAAAAAAAATACGCATTTGGAAATCTTGATTGCAAAAAATGGTTTACCGGAATTAGATTTGGAGGCTCTTTTGGCC